AGACAGGGAAGCATCTGGGCCCAAAAGGATGAAATCAGTGTGATGGAGCTGAGCATCTCCTCAATCCAAGGAGTGAGTTTCTTACTGATACCTTTAAAAAGAAATGGAAAAATTCACCAGATGAGAAATGGCAGGGGATGCATCTCAGCAGAGAGCCATTGATGTCCTTCCTTCCTTCGAGCAGGAGAAGGCCAGATCTTTTCCTTCTCCCCCTCCAAGAGATGAGCTGATGGCATCTAACTAGAAATGTCTTTCCAAACTCTCTCATGAGAGACGCAAACCCTTACCCAGAGAGGCCACGTTCCTATAATTTTCCAGCATGACTTCCCAATGCAGCACTTTTTGGTGAGGATCCAGCAGAGACCGCTCCTCCTCGGAGAAATACACAGCCACCTCCTCGAAGGAGACAAGACCCTCCTGAACAAGAAAAGAACAAACAGAACAGGCCCAGGAGGATTTGCAAGATCTGTCCTATTCGTCACAAATTCCCAAAGCAAAGCTTTGCACTAAGTTAAATGGCAACTCTTGGTCGGATTCCAAGGTTTAGGTGAGAAAATGGAAAGAGCCAACAGCTTTGGACTGAAGAAGTATTTCTGCCAGGCTTGATCCACTTGATTGCTTCTGCAGGCCTTTCAGTGCCATTCAGTGACAGGAACCCCAATTTCCTTCTGGATTGATCCATCAATCAATCAATCCATGTAGCCACCTTCAAAAAACTGTCAGCATCTTGAGAGAACCAACTGGCAGATGGTCTTCAGAAACTCCACCTATCAGTGTCTCCAATCCTTCATGCGTTTGCAGAAGAAAATCGGGGGGCAGGGAGATTCTTTCTAGCATTTCAGCATGGGGCTTATGGTGCCCCAGAAGGACCAATCGTGCCCATGTTCAAAAACTTCATGAAGTGCTGGGAGAGCACAGCCCAGGGATTTGGGTGGGGGGCCAGGAATATCGAGAGGCACACAAGCTGGATTCTTCCCTTCCTCAGACTGCAAGAAAGGTGCTAGTAGTCTGAGCCATTGGCTGAATGGGAGACAAGAAAGTGGAGGCAATTTTCTGGGAAGGACATTTCTCAGCCTTTGCCAAACTGGATTCTCTGGCCTCCAAATCCAGGCACAAATCAGAGGAGTAGAAATTAGTTTGCAAGGCAAAAGGACCTTGATTATATGCTCTTTCAGAACAATTTCTACTTCGAAACTTTTCTAACTGGCCACTTTCATTGCATTTTAATATCCTGGCTCATGTCTTAATCTGATGTGCTTGTATTTCTTATCACTGGTTGGAAACAAGGCTTTTTAAAAATGCCAATGTGCCATTCTGAGTATTTGGTTATTTTTGAGCAGGCTTGCACAATTCCAAAGAATTAAAAAATGAATGAGTCTCTGTTTAGCAGTTTCTATGGCTGTAATAATATTATTCCTATCACTTGAGGAACTTTTTTAAAAAAATGGTTATTTTAAACAAATAGTAGAAAGAGTAAGTAGCAGAAGGTGAGTTAAGTACCGGTCTCAAAAAAAGGTTTCCTAATAAGAATCTTAGGGAGAAATTACAAACCAATTTGTATCCCAACCAAAGATTTCAGAGCAGGCTAAGGTGACTGAGAGCAACCTGAGTCTGCTACTCCACATTCCATGTTGCTCAAGGAGAAGAAAACACCGAAGCCCCCCCAAAAAGGGGGGGGGGATGGAAGGAGAGAGTGCTGCATTCACCAGCTTGACTTCCTGAAGGAAAGGGAGAATATAATCTAATACACAAATTTCCTCCTTTTACCTGAGCTGGAGGTTCAGCCACTGTTTCAGCTGCACCACAAAGAGCAGACAACTTCGTTCGCGTCTTCCCTGTGAGGGAGAGAGAATTTTAAAGTGCAGAATTAATGAAAAAGGAGGAGGCATT